CAGCAGGAAATAGGGAGAGCCCTATATAAGTGCTAGCCTACAGCATGGTTCCCAGAGCACAGCTGAAAGAGGCAGTCAACAGATGCTGCAGTTTTCCCAGCAGTTTGTGAAGCAGGGCGCACACACAAGCGGCCAGCAACTGCTCAGAGCAGCATATGCTTCCTCAGCAATGATGGTGACACGTCCCAGGACATGGTCCCCAGCAAGCATTGGAGTAACTTTCCCCGTAATGTCAGAGGCCTCAACCCAGATGGAGCTTCAGGAGGAAGATGCAGCTTTGCAGGTTTCGAGCTGCAGGGAGTGCCTGGCACCTCTTGCTGAGCTGGGGCAGTAGGGGATAGATAGTCTTCTAATCTGCAAGAGATGTTCAGTTGTTCAGGATCTGTGTTGCAAGTTAAAGGAGCTCTGCAGGAGGAGGTTCTCAGACTGCAAGCAGCAGAGGTGATGAAAAGAAAATGACCAGATCTTCTCCAAGACCTTGCAGCTTCAAGAGCCATATTCCCAACTGTATCAGAAGGAGGGACAGGTGGAGTTGGCTTGTTGGCTTGGGAAGTAAAGATTTCTGTGACAGCAAGGCTGGGAGCTTGTTTCCTGACACCAGGAGGAAGGCTTCTGCTCCACCTGAGGTTTTGCAGCTACAGAATAGATTCAGTGCCCTCCAGGCTGACAAAGGGCTAGAAGCTCTGCTCAGCAAAGCATCTGTGCCAGCTGAACCTGAGCCACATGGCAGCACCAGGAGGAAGCAGTGAGTATGAATAGTGGGAGACTTCCTATTGCGGGAGATGTAGGCCCCCATCTGCTGATGTGACCTGTCACCTAAGGTAGCTTGCTGGAGGCTCGTATTCAGGATGATGTTGAAAGTCTGCTGAGGCTTGTCCAGCCCTCAGGCTATTACCCCTGCTGCTCTTCCACATGAGCACCAACAATACTGCCAGGGAAGGCCTGGAAAGTATCAAGTGTGGCTGTGTGGCTCTGAGGGTAATGGGTGTAGGGGTTCAGATGATGTTCTCCTTGATCCTGCTGATGAGGGGGAAGGGTGTGAGGAAGAGTGAACAGATCCTGTGAGTCAATGGTTGGCTGTACACCTGGTGTTGGGAACAAGGTTTTAGTTTTTATGACCATCAGACTCTGAGGATCTAGGACTACTAGGGAGAGATGAGGAAGTGGTAAACCAGGTTAGCAAGCAAAAAGTGCAGGATAATGTGAACAGGAGGGACCTCACAATCAACAAGACAGGGCTGCATTATGAGGAAAGCTTTCATACGCTTTCTGGGAGATCAGCATGATGATGCCGCTCTGAAGTGTCTGTACAATAATGCACACAGCATGGGGAACAAAAGGGAGGAATTATTAGTCTGCATGCAAACCACTAATCTATGATTAGGCTACGATTTCATTGGTACCGTGGAGATGTGATGGGATGGCTTACATAACTGAGATGCTGCAATGGATGGATTCAGGGCCTTCAGGAAGGATGGGTTAGAAACGTGAGATGGGAGAGCTGCCCTTTACGTGAGAGCAGTGGGAGTGCATGGAGCTCTGCTTTGGGATGGCTGATGAGCCAGCTTGAGAGCTCATGGGTTCAGATTAGTAGGCAGACTGAAAAGGGCAATGTCATGGTAGGTGTCTGCCACAGACCACCTGATCCGGAGGAAGTAGATTAGGCCTTCTTCAGACAACGGGAAGAAGCCTCATGTTCGCAGGTTGGCCCTCATGAGGGACATCATACTGATATCTGCTGGAGGGACAACACAGCAGGGAACAAGCAGTCCATGTTTCTGGAGTGCATTGTTGACAGCTTTCTAACATAGGTGATCAAGTTGCTGAATGAGGGGAAGCGTTTGGCTGAACTTGATTACTTCCAAATAAGGAAGAATTGGTTGGGAATGTGAAGGTCTGGGGCAGCCACGGCTGAAGGTGGAAATGGTGGAGTTCAGGACCCTGAGAGGTGGGAACGAGACAAAAAGCAGGATCACAACCCTGGGCTTCAAGGAGAGCAGGTGTTGGCCTGTTTAAGGGCCTGCTTGGAAGAATCCCAGGGGCTCCCACACTTCTCTGTAGAGAAGAGGGGTCTAGGGCAGCTGGCTAAGATTCAAGGATTACCTCCTCCAAGCTCTTAGTTGTCCATCCTAATGACCAGGAAATGAAGCAAAGGCAGCAGGAGGCCTGTATGGATGAACAAGGAGCTCCTGACAGAACTGAAATATGAAAAAGAAGCATACAAGAGGTGGAAGCAGGGACAGGTGACATGGGAGGAATTTAGAGTCACTCTCTGAGCATGCTGGGATGTGGTTAGAAAAGCCAAAACCCGCTTGGAGTTGAATCTGGTGAGGGACATGAAGGGCAACAAGGAAGGCTTCTACAAGTACCTCAGCAGCGGAGGGAAGGCTAGAGAAAATGTGGGCCTGATGCTGAATGGAGCAGCGGCCCTGGTGACAAAGGATACAGAAAAGCCTGAGGTACTTGATGCCTTCTTCACCCCAGTCTTTACTGGGAAGACCAGCTGTCAGGAATCCCAGGCCCCTGAGGCCAGAGGGAAAGCCTCAAACAAGGAAGACTTACCCCTGATGGAGGAAGATTAGATTAAGGAATATTTAACCAAACTGGACATACACAAGTCTATGGACCCATGAGTACTGAGGGAACTGGCTGATGTAATTGTGAGGGCACTCTCGATTATCTTTGAAAGGTTGATCAAAGGAGGTTCCTGAGGACTGAAAGAAAGCAAATATTGCCTCAATGCTCAAAAAGAGCCAGAAACAGGATCTGGGATACTACAGGCTTCTCAGCCTCTCCATGATCCCTGGAAGGATGATGAAGCAAATCCTTTTGGAAGCCATTTCCACTCCAAAAGGGTGAGAAAGTGATTGGGAGTAGTCAGCATGGGTTTATGAAGGGGAAATCATCCTTGATCAACATTGATAGCTGCCTAGATGAAATGTCTGGCTTAGTGGATGATGTTTGTCTTTACTTCAGTGGCTTGAGTGTTTGAGGTGGATGGCAATCTGGCAGAACTGCTGGGTTGAAAGGGACAGGGTCAGCAGCACCCTGGACGGGAGGCCAGTCCCTAATGGTGTCCCCCAGGGGCTGATACTGGAGCCAGTACTGTTGAACTTGTTCATTAATGCCCTGGTTGATGAGACAGTGTGCATCCTCAGCAGTTTCCCAGATGATACAAAATGGGGATACACCAGATGGTTGTGCTGCCACTCAAAGGAACCTCAGCAGGTTGGAGAAATGGGCAGAGAGGAACCTCATGAAGTGCAGTAAAAGGAAATGCCAGTTCCTGCACCTGGGAAGGATTAACTCATTGCCCCAGTACGTGCTGGGGACTGACCAGCTGGAATGGAAAGTAGCTTCCCTCAAAAAGACCTAGGGGTCTTGATGGATATCAAACTGATCATGAGCAGGTAAAGAAAGCAAATAGCCTCCTGGGCTGCATTAGGAAGAGTGTTGCCAGCAGGTCAGAGGAGGTGGTCGTTCCCCTTTATCCAGCACCGGAGAGACCCCATCTGGAGTGCTATGTCCAGTTCTGGAGTCCCCAGTAAAAGATGTGGATGTACTGGAGCAAGTCCAGTGAAGGGACTGGAACATCTCTCATATGAAGAGAGGCTCAGAACTGGAGAAGAGAAGACTCAGGGTGGGAATCTTATTTATAAATATCTGACTGGAGGGTGTAAAGAAGAAAATGACAGACTCTTCTCAGTGGTATCCAGTGACAGGATAAGAGGCAAAAATTGAAATACAAGAAATTGTTTGCTGTATGAGTGGTGAAACGCTTGAACAGGTTGCCCAGAAAGGTTATAGAGTCTCCATCCTTGGAGATAATCAAAACTTGACTGGAATCCGTCCTCAGCAATCTGCTTCAGGTGACCCCCCTTTGAGTGGGGGATTCAACTAGACAATCTCCAGACAACCTCAACTATTCTGTGATTCTATGACTTTTGTGGATATAAAAAACGTTATAATGGCCAGTAACAAATACATTCATTAAAAGAATGAAGGATCTGTTCAGTCCAAAATGCCTGACTCTATACAATGGAATAGCCAAATAACATGTCTACAAACGCGAGTTAAGTATAGGCTCTGGTCACAAAGATAGGAAGCAATTGAGACAGCTCTTCAGTGAAGTGTTTGGGTAACTTAATTAAAGAATTTATCAAGATTTTTGAGTGGTCGCTTAAAAATCAGCTATTTTGACCTCTCATTCTCTCTGATTTGAAACATAACATGACTAGATACCTTGAAAATACCAGCTGTGAGTTATATACAGACGCTGGGATGTAGGCACTCTAATTTATTGTGTCTAAACTCTTGTGTTCTCTTCCCTGTACAAATAAGTCTGAACCTATTGCCTTTTGCATACTTGAATTATGATTAAAACTTATGAAATGTGGTGTAGTTCATGAAACACTGTAAAACAGCATCCAAAACAAGCAAAAATGTGGGTTTTTTGGTTTCTTGTTTTTTTTTTCTTGGTAGCCCTGGCTTTTGATGATTCAATCTTTTATCTTTGACTGATTAAAAAAAACATTTCCTGCTAAATACCACATCTGTCCTGCCACTTAAAAATTATGGCCTGGTTGAGTTGAATAGCAGTACGTTAAGTGTCCTGGTTCTCAGGCTAACAAGGGACAGTTGCTCTCTTCTGCTCAGGAAGAGCTGAACAGCATGTCTTTCCTGGTAAGATGCTGCACTTGTTTCTGGAGGTGATCCATGGTGGGTTACAAAGCCTTCTAAATATGGATGTGGTAGATCTTCAGTAGATGACTGACCTTTTCCATTTTTACTCCTTCCAGTATCTCTGAACAGTTTGGGTATACTGTATCTTAATGTTATATGATAATGCAAATGGAGTTATTTCAATAGTCTCATGTTTTCAGTGAGAGAGAAGTTATTTTATGAAATGGTTCATATCTTCAACCCTCACTATGATATCTGTAAAAAGTTTTCTTTAATAACCTTTATTTGTTTACAGGCTGGGCGAGAGCATTGCAGCAAGTAATGCTTACAAGCAACACGAAGCAGAGCATGCATCAAAAAGAATCCAAATGCAATCACCTATGACCAGTGTTTCTTCAGTGAGATGTTCTTCATCCTATTCTTCATCTGATAATTCTGCAACTTCAAATATTCAGGAGTTAATACAGAAACTCCATTCTGGACTAGAGGTTAATAGAATTTATGCATGTTTATTAAATATTTGACACTTTACTGAAAGGCTACAGTGCACGTATCAGTTGGAATCAGTGTAGATTCCTGCCTATTTGGAATGTGCTGCTTTTACTGAGCTCCTGAGCAGAACTCAAATTTTTGTGCTATATCAGAAGGTAGTCTCCTTGCTGAGATCTTTCTCCAGTGGAGTTGCCCATACTCTTTTAGCTGTCCTGTGGAGACAGATGTCAGATCTAGTCACACTATTATGTAGACTTGCTGGGATGGGTACAATGAGTGCCCTCCCCCCCCAAGAGAGGTGATTATGCTGCTTTATAAGACTATGGTGCATCTCTTGCACATTTAAACAGGCATACGAACGTTTTCCTTTTGTTGCTTGTAGGTGGCTCTTTAGCATTTGTATTTTAATCTTTGTGGTATTCCTGTGAAGGCAATGTTATTACTTTAGAAAAGTTTTACTTTCCTCTGCAGCAACATGCATTGTAGATGAGATGGTGGAATAGGCACCACATACAGTTCCCCTGTTAAAGGGACCGTACTGTCAGATGCTGGATGCTTTCCTTTTTCTGTTCAAAGCAAGGTAGTTGCTTTGTAGCTGTTTTAGACAGTGATGGATTGTTACTGCTGCTTTCTTTTGACTTGAAAGAACAGTATGCAAATGAACAAAATGAACAGGAAGTGTCTAATAAGGGCTCGGTAACTATATTAGTGCCGTTGCCTCCTGCCTTAGCTTTGCAACCCTTCGCTCTTTTTTGTCATTGATTAGAATGAAGCTCAGCAAGCTACCAGTTCTAGGCAGTTACTGGAATAATAGTGGAAGAGGTCAAGTGACTGCCTTGGCTTACTTTTTACCCTGTCACTGGATACTCTCATTGATAATTCTTTTCAGTACTGCGTGTGACAGTCTGTAGGTGCACTGCTGCGTATTTATTAGTAAAAGTCAAAGTAGCCACAGGTGCTTTACAGCATTAGTTCACTAGCTTCCAGTAATGTAACATGTCCTGCAGCTCCTTCGATTTTTGATGAGAAGGGAAAAATGTTATTGATTGTTCAGTGAATTATTTCTTAGTCCTTCTCATTAGTAGAACTTTCCTTTAAAAATGCCTTATTTAAACACTGATGTGCATTAATTTAAAATGCACAGTACTTCAGCCCTGTGTGCATTTTATATATTGTGTGAAGCTCAGATGTGTGTAAAATATTTGAAAACCATCTTTTAATAGAGTGACTGTACAGAGAAAGTGAAGGGAACTTGCATAAGCTTTACTTGTAGTAATATTTAAAAGGTCAAGGAGATGACGAGTTTGCAAGCAAGAAAAGAAATTATTGGTCTCTGGTGTTGGGGCAGGGAAATGAGCCGAAGACTGCGGTTATGTGGGGTCTACTGTTAATCTCGGAGGAGGAAAAAAAAAAAAAAAAAACAATTATGCAGTTGTTCTAAGTTGGTGCGGAGATGATACCTTTTCAGTAGGCATTTGTTGTATGAACAGCTGGGGTAATTTACACTTGGTCATGCACCTGTGTATGTGAACAGCTGCTCAGAATTGTTATACTAGTACTGTTTAAGGAAGAATCTCCTGAAATCGCCAAGTGGCATTCTCACTTGACTTGAGTGCATATTTAAATAAGCACTTAGGGCTTATTGAACTGTACAAGGTGAACTTCCTTAGTAAGTAAATGAGTTAGAATAACAAGTCCTGTTCTGGATAGTGTATTTTCAGAATAACTGTCTAAGATCTTTTCTGATAATCCAGACATTGACAAGGCTGAGGAGTATAAACAAGGATTTTTAGCCATGTGTGTTCTGTCATGTTGACATTAGGGCAAACTACTCTAGATGTCCTATTAATTAATTCTCCAGGAGTTAGCAAAGATTAGATAGTCCAAGGGGAACCGCTGTAGATGTGATATTATCTTTTCATAGTGACTGGCTAATAATCTTCTGCAGGTTCATCCTATTTGACCTAACTAGTCTAACTATTCAGATTTTCTGCAAGTCAGGTAGATGCAGTTGAGCAGATAGTTCCAGATAAGCGGATAAGAATTTTAAAAAAAAAGCTACTGGTCAGGTATAATTCAAGAAACTATTGTACTTTTCAGATGAACATTACCTGTTTCAGTATTTACAAACTTAACTTTTGTAACTGCTGCTGCAAAATTTTCCACAGATGAAGGAGCCAATTGCTGATATGAGAATATCTGACATAATGGATGTTTATGAGCAGAAGCTGTCAGCATTAGCAGTGAGTATGACCTAAAGTGTGTGTGAATGCATTCCTGTCTGCACATACAGAAATTTTTATTGAAAAAGGCTTTTTTTTTTTGTGGGCAGTCTAAAGAAACCAGGCTGCAAGACCTTTTGGAGGCAAAGGCGTTGGCACTGGCTCAGGCTGATAGGCTTATGGCTCAGTACCGATGTCAGAGAGCCCAAGCTGAGTCTGAGGTGAGTAGCAGGACCCTCATTCTGGAATTCTGGGGTGAAGATGAATGGTGCTTGTCTGGGTAGCTTTAACTGTGATGGCACATATGAAACTTTCTACTGCTTAGCTAAGCTATGCTTACAATTTAGGATGATCTTAATATGTCATCATAAGCATCCTGTTTTCCTTTGGATTGTTCTTTAGAACAATGTTCTTTATCTCCTTTTCCCTTATAGGAAGTCAACAAAACTGATCTGCTGTACTGATTACCTTTACGATTGGTTAACCATTAGTGTTAACTAATCTGATGATACTAATCTCTGAAACAAACAAAAGCCCTTGCTAGAATTATATATGGAGTTACCCAGTGTATGTAGAACAGCTTCTTGTTTGTGCCATTTAATCACTTGTCATGTTTTCGTAGGAAGAACAACTTTCAAATAAATCTTGCATCACTAGGGTGTTTGTGGGTGAGGTGTGCTTTGAAAGCTCATAATCATTTTTATTCTTTAAACTTTATTATAAAGACTCACTAGCTCAGGCTGCAACTTAACCAAAGGAATACATGTATTGATCTTTTTCGTCCCTTTCCCCCTCACATTGGCTATAAAGGGAGCTAAAGGACTTTAGAGTGAGTTAATTGCCTGGTTTTTAGCTAATATTTGGTGAGAGAAATCCTCTCAACATAACTGATGGTATTTTAACGTTAGAGACATACGCCTATCATATTAGGTATCCAACGTTATGTTTGATATCGAACATACCTATTACAAAGGAGCTTGTAAAACAATTGATTGCAATTGTTTTGGATTTTTTTCTCACTCAAAGGCAAGAACTCTTGCTGCAATGTTGAAGGATGCAGAACGAAAAAATGAAGAACTTAATGTTTTGCTGAAAGCTCAGCAGGTGGAATCTGAAAGGGCGCAAAATGATATTGAACAACTCTTTCAACACAACAGAAAACTACAGACAGTTGCTGAAGAACATGAAATACTGAAAAAATCCTCTGTTGATCTTCTTCAGAGGTAAGAAGCTTAAGATCTCTAAGCAAATACTTCATATCCAGCTGGAGTGATGAAGTCCTTTATTTTTCTGGGCTAAGTACATTCGAAGGACAACACTACATGCTGCTTTGTAGTTTAAAGTGAAATTTTCCCTTTTTTTCCCCATGCTTGTAGATCAGCTACCTTTAAGTCATTCAGGAAGTTAGTATGTTAAATGGAGTCTGAAAACTAAAGTTGTAGCTATTGAAGGTCTAGCTCGGGAAATGGCAAGAGCTCTGTATATTTAAAAAAATAAAAAATAAAAATTGTTCTCCAAGAAACACAACTAACAGTGTTTGATTTCTAGTAGTGGTATGCCATATGCTCAGCGTCATTCTTTGATCTTATATGGCATCTTGACAATATGCTATGAGTAGTCTAGAGAAGCAGCTAATATGGTATGCCTGTATAAGGTAGGAGTTTGCATCTCGTGATCTCTTCTGTAGCAAATTTGACAGGAATTGGGTAAAAGTGAGATGGGGAGGATGAAACCACCTTGTGTCTCCCCAGTGACATTTATATATTATATATATTATTTCTTCAGGATCTTAAGCTAAAAAGAGGGCGTGTGAGGCATAAAACATACACAAGGATAGAAACTATTTCTTTCTTTACAGAAAAAAGAATATGCTGTGAGAGAAGAAAAGCAAGAAGAGCTTTGGCTTTTCAACTCATTTGAGTTGATCTTGTCACTAGGTGTCAGCAAGGCCAAGAAGCTGATAAAATTCAGAAAGGCTCTAACTTAATGGGAACAAACTTTGTGTTAGACAATTTTGAAGGCATATCACAACCAATAAGGGAGTAATGGGGGTGGAGGGGCGGAATGCATTTAAGTGATTTATTCTGTCCATTATGGAGCTTCTTGAGTAAGCATCTAGTATAGTTGCTATGGAAGTGCATTCTTTCTTGCTTTAATTGTATGTAGCCGCATGCTCTACGAGCATATATTTATTTGATTAGTTGTGTATGAAGTTAAACAGTCTCAGTCTAGTACTTAGCCATTGTAAATTCTCCAAAGAAGGAAAAAGATATCTTGATGATCCTTACAATGTGATTATAAAGCGAGAACTTACTTTCTAAACAATCTGCATACTTTAAATGCTGTTCCTTAAATACTCAAATAACTGACGTTGGGGGGAGAATTTTGCTTTTGGTAGGAAGCATTGTTTGTCTTCCGCACTATTTTCAGTCTGTGGCATCACCAGACAACTGGAGTTTAGAGACTGTGTTCCTTAAAAGATGGCTGTGAAAAGCAATCTGTGTATGCCAGATTTCTAAAGACATCAGCATATTCATTTGTCAGTCCCTAGGAGTTCTTTGCTAGAGAAAAATTGCTTCCTGATGTTTGTTAAGGATACAGAAGGGGTCCACCGAAGCTTGTTTTTTATCTGTGTTTATGGAAAAAAAAAACAAAAAAAAACAAAAAACCCCCACAACTTTGCTTTTAGCTTGAACGGGATGATTGCTCAGATGATGTCAAGTATTTTTTTTGACAAACTGTTAAAGTAAAAGCTCTTCAAAAACACTTACCCTTTTTAAATATAACCCTCTAACTTTTTTGTAGGCATGAAGCAACTGAAAGACAATATAAAGATCTACATGTTACATGCAATTCACTAAATAAACAAGTAGAAGCAATGAAAAAACTAAATGAATCACTCAAGCAGCAGAATGACAAGTAAGTTTAATTCACAGTCTTTTTTAAAGCAAATTAAAGATAAAACAGTGAAACTAAATTGCACTTTAGTCTCAATCTTTCCGTTTTCTGTGCTTTAAGTAACATCTGAGAAGTGTAGTTAGCTTCAGGGTTACTTGATATGTGTATTAGGTGAAAATCTGTAGTAGTCACTTCCATAATTTTTTGTTTTCTTTTCCTGTTGGGGAGGAGAGGGATTCCACGTAAAGGCTATAGAGACAGTAGGAAGAAAAGTCTAATGGAAACAATAGAGGTTTTTGTATTTTTTTTTAAGGGTGGTTTGGGGATGTGTTTTTTCTTAATTCTTAAATACTATTATCACCTAGGTTTTTCACATCTCCTTTTAGCTTGCAAGGTTTCTCTGTAATAATATGAAATATTGCTGTTGACAGTGGAAGTACTTAAAGGTTTTTGTTTGCAAATAAATAAAATTAATACATGATTTGCTTTAAAAACAAATTGCATCATAAATAGTGATGGTTAGTATTCTCTCTGTGGTGCAAAACTTCCTTTCTTGACCATAAGACTAGCACTGAGGCCTCTGTATATAATATACTTATATACATACATACATAAATCCCTCCCCCCCTCCCCAAACTAATGGCTTAAGATAGGTCTGAGGTACCTTTCACCCATGTAATTAAGGGGTTATGGTTCCTATTTGTGAAACTTTAATACTACTTGGAAAGATATCTTCTGCAAAATCAGGAAATCTGTCTGTACCCACACCCTGCAAATTCATAGTTGTGTAGATTTGATTTTGAGCTCCTGACAGCAGTTGGAATTGATACAAAAACCCTTCTGACTTGTTAGAACACAGTAACGTCACTATCTTTTATTTATTTTAACTTCCCTGATTATTAAATCTTTTTCTCTGCAATTTTAGGGCTGCTGCACAGTTGAAAGAAACTGAAGATAACAGAAAAGAATTAGTACTACAGCTACAGGATAAAGATGGCAAAATAGCAAGTAAGTCGCTTACTAAAACATCATTGGACTGACAGAGCTAACTAGATTAAGCAGATGGTTTTTATGTATCCTGGATAAGTAAATGACTTGTAAGTTTTAAAGGTAACCAAAGACAACAATTGCATGAAACAGATTAAATATTTTGTTTTTGTTTGAAAGAATACTTATATGTAGCCTGGAGAGTCACATGTATTTCACTGAATCTCTGCACAGTATCAGACATTCCTTCAGGATCTTTTCAGAGCATGTCCATTAGAACTACTTTCTATAGGAACTGTAAATTGCAAGAATTTAACTTAACTCTTTAGTAAATGACTGAGAAATAGCCATTAAAACTTAGCAGTAGATGGCAGTACTCAGTAATTCACTTAGCTGCCATGCTGGGTAATTTTTTTAAAAAAAAAAAAAAAAAAAAAAACACCTTATTTCACAGGCAATTAAGTAGCTCTATTCTAAGTCTGGCAACCCATCTTGTAATGTGTTGATTTTCTTAAGGCTTGCAACAAAAAATAAAAGGTCTTGAAGAAAAACTGAAAGCTCGACAGAAAGAAAAAACAGATATGGAAGAAACTATAGATCTTCTTAGAAAGGAATTAAGTAAAACAGAACAAGCAAGGAAAGAACTAAGTATCAAGGTAAGAATCGTTTTCACCTGTACCCCAGAATCTGGAATTTTAAGTATCTATATAACTATAGAGTTGGAGAATCTGTATCAGAGTAGAAGTGGCTAAAGAAAACAGAGCAGTATGTGTAGTGGACAAGAAGAAATACTATTAGCTTTAATCATATATACCTTTTGAGTTTTGAATAGCTGAGCCTGAATTTAAGGAACACGCATACCCTGAAACAAAAATAAAAACAAATCAAAAACAAAAATACTGCAGTGCAGTTGGCATGTCTTTTGCCTGGAGGTGTATTCAGCTCCCTATTAATTCACAAGGCAGAGGGTCATCTTCTGTGCAAACTGGTCAGTAATCATAAAGAACTGTGTGGTCTATTAAAGCATTTGCAGTATTTCTATGAATTGCAGCACAGCCTAATCTCCCCAGGCAACTTTTGCCAATATATAGCAAATATTTCCCCTGCTATTAGCAAATACCTAGCTTTGTATGGATTGAACTAAAATATGGATGGCCTATGAACACTTCTGTCCCTTAAGCAGAACAATATGAGGGTTAGTGCTTTCCCTTTGGTATCTAACCTTTTAAAGTGTGGCAGTAGCTGTAATCATTCACAGGCACCAAGTGTAAAGCTATGTGAGAGTTGAAGATATTTCCAAAACCATTTTAAAGCAGTCATTTTAATTGCTTACTGAATTACTGCATTGTGTATGTTGAGACTTCTTCCACTATCAACTGAAAAATTTATTTATTCTGTAGGCATCTTCTCTGGAAGTTCAAAAGTCTCAGTTGGAAGGACGTTTGGAAGAAAAAGAAGCTATTGTGAAAGTACAGCAAGAACAACTGCAGAAACATTCCCATATGATAGCAATGATTCACAGTTTAAGTGGTGGCAAATTAAGTGCTGAAACAGTGAACCTCAGTTTATAGGGCTCTCTAGTTAAGGTTTTAGTATTTTAGATATATGTATAAATATATGTAAAGATTTTTAAACTTGAAGTTAGCGTATTGTCAGGCTAAAAAGACCCAGTCATCTACAATTGAAGTAGTTTGGCTGTCAGTTGAGAAGAAAAACTAGTATTTTGGAAGCTTTGGTTTGAAAAGTCTGAGCTATTTTATAGCAAATAGGTCTTCTGATGATCTTGTAGAACTACTATCATCTGTATTGGGAGCTGGATTCAACTGTGTTTTTGTGACTAACATTCCTAGCCCTGCAAAGGGACAACAGGAGTCACGGAATTTTTGTCTGTACATTCTGTTACTGGCAGTCAGACATGCAGTATGCTTCATTAAGGAAAGGTTAAGCATTTTTATAATTTCATCTTGTTAATTTTTACTCTTCTGAATACCATGTATTATTTGTGCAATGCTGCTTCCTGATGTCTAAGATAAAAACATAGAAAATGGATTATACAAGTTAGAACCTGTTACACTGAAAGCTATATTTCAGTTTATTGGTGCACATGCTTCATGTAGTAAATATGTGGAGGTGTTTCTAATTATGAGGTGATAGGAATTAGAACGAGTAGAATACAAACCTGAATGATTATCAGAAAGTACTATCAATTATAGAAAGTATGCTGAAATATGAAATATATGAATCTACAAATATTTGTTAGAATACTATGTAATATTTTAATAGTTCTACAACACTCTTT